AAGAAGTTACTGTCAGACTAATTGTTTGTTCTTTTTAGTTAATCAGTGTTTTCTTTGCTGCCTTTATAATCTTTGTCTTGTATTTTCTACAGTTTACTATGATGTATCTAGTTATGAATTCCTTTTTGTTCATCCTTATTGGGATTTGTTGGGCTGCCTAAACCTGAGATTTGGTGTCTTTCAACAATCCTCAAAAATAATATGTCATTATCTATTCAAATACTTCCTTTTCTCATGCATTTCTACTCTGCACACGTAGGGGTCTCCATGGGTCAGAACTGACGTAACAGCAACCAACAACAACTACAAATACTGCCTCTTCTCCATTTTCTCTCTCACTCTCTTTCAGTTAGATGGGCTCTGCCTGTTCCTTCTTTCCTAGGTGACACTTGCCCTGCTTTTCATATTTTCTACCTTCTTATTTTCTGTGCTACATTCATGTTTATTTCTTCAGCTGTCTGTTCCAGCTCACTAATTCTTTATTTACCCATGACGAATCTGCTATTCAACTTGTGTGTTGGTTTTTAAATTCAATTATTATTTTTTCTTTTATGTTATTTCCATTTTTTTCCTAAATCTATTTGGGTTTCTTTGTTTATTTGTCTGTCTCTTATACCTTAATCATGTTTGTACTTTATCTCTGATAATCCCAATTAGTTTGTTTTCTTATATCTGATTCTGCTCTTGGTAGTTGCTACTGGCTCTCATTCAGAGTGCTTTATTTGCTTGAGTGCTTTATGATTTGTGATACATTCTTTGGAGCTTTATTTGTGGAAATTCTGTTAGGTCTACACTGAAGTTAGTTTTCCACAGCAAGTATTTGTATTTTTACTTGTCACACATTTGGGCACTATGAACCTTAAATTTCCCTAAATGAATTTTTTAGGCCATCCATGTAATGATAATAGTAGTAATCGTTGGTAAATGCCTTCGAGTTGACTCCAACTCATCGCAACCCTGTACAGATAGAACAAAACGCTGTCCGGTCATGCACCATCCTCACAATCCTTGCTATACCTGAGCCCCTCATTGCAGCCACTGTGTCAGTCCATCTCATTAAGAGTCTTCCCCTTTTTCGCTGACCCTCCACTTTACCAAGCATGATATCCTTCTCCAGGGAATGGTCCCTTCTGACAATATGACCAGAGTAGGTCAGATGAAATTTGGCCATTCTTGCTTCCAAGGAACATTCCAGCTGCATTTCTTCCAGGACAGATTTATTCATTCTTCTGACAGTCTATGGTACTTTCAGTATTAAAAGTTAAAAAAGAAAACCCAGAGGTGATATGGTGATGGAAAGAAAGAAAGGTCTCTACAGCAGTGAGCATGAATGGGTTGTACAGCTATGTATTATCTACAGCACCGATAACTTTGGGGAACAGAATTAAGCAATCCACAGAAGAATGGAGTATTAGGATTCCATTTATGTGAAGGCAAAACTAAATAACATATTGCTTATAGATACATACAGCTGTGATAAAACTATACAAAATCAAGGATGTTGATTCCCCCTTGGTAGAAAAGAGAATGGGTGATTCAAGGGTATTAGTGATGCTTAATTTCTAAAGCTGGGTGGTGAGGACTCAGGTGTCTGGGTTTTGGTGGTGGTGTTTTGTTTCTTTATACATCCCATGTACTTTTTTTTTTTAATTTTATTGTGATTTGGATGAAAATTTACAGAGCAAATTCATTTTCCATACAGCAGTTCATACACATTTTGTTCATGACATTGACTACAATTCCCCACAATGCAACAGCTCTCTTCCCACTTCCTCCTTGTAGTTGCCTCTTCCCTGTGTCCTTCCCTCCCTTGCACTCTAGACATCCCACCACCCCACCCCAGCTGTCTCCCTGTGCAAACACTGCCCTTCTGTTTTCCCACGATTGGTCGCTCCAAAGAATGTAAAAACCTGATGTAAATGTCCACCCCATATGCCTGTCTGGTGTTTGGCTAAAAGCTACAGGAGTGAGTTCAGTTCTGGACCTGAAGAGTAACTAGGGGCCATAGTCTTAGGGGCGTACCAGGTTCTATCAGACCAGCTAACCTGGTCTTTTTTCATGATTTTGAGTTTTGTTCCACATTGTTCTCCCGCTCTGTCCAGAATCTCTTGCACCATTCACCTCTGAGTGGTTGACAGTGGTAGCTAGGCACCATCGAGGTCTTATTCCATGTACTTTCATGTATACATTCCATGTGCTTTCATGCACACATGCACACAGAATGAAAATTATCCAGCAGTGGTAAATGCTCCTTCACACAGGCTGAACTGCTGAAGGATTTCTATTTGTGCAGCCAGTTGTCTGAAGAAGGAAAAGCCACATTCTTCATTGATACTTGGTATCTTGCTTTGCCCTGAGGGTCCATCCCTCTCCAGTTGGACTTCCTGGGATGGAGAGGTCAATCAAAAACAACTGGGCTACAACCCCCTGCTGTGCTTCTTCAGTGGTTATAGGGAACTTTGTCTTACCCTGGGTGTTCAGACTCAGAATAGAGAAAGAAAGCTTGCTCTATAAGGGCACCAGGTAGAAGGAATTAGGAGACAGCACTGGAAAGACTACTGGGCCGCGCTATGGACCTTTTGAGATTGAGGAGCAGAGAAGGCACAGTGTCACATTACTCACAGAGAATAAAGTGAAGGAATAGGGCCAAGAGGACTGAGGGGCCTAGCATGGTACAGGGCCTTTGGCAGCAGACAAATCTGAGTCATGCCTGGCTCTACTACCAAGTAGCGGTATTACTTTAGGGGATACCTCTCTAAGCTTAAGTTTCCTTAGCAGTTCTAAAAGAAGAATAATATACCTCTTAGGATTGTGTGAGGATTGAAAACCTTGATGTATGTGACACGCTTGGTGCTTAGTAAATACTGGGTAAAATCTGTTCCCATCCCTTTGACAGAACAGAGATTAAAAGTTATCCCAGAGGATCTGCAGTGGATATAGATGAGAAGTCAGAAATTTCTGAGACTGGGAGGCCAAAGGTTTCAAAATCTCAGTGATGTTGGAGGACCAGGTATTAGGAGTGAGATGGCTAAAAGGATGGTGGGATGCTGTAGTAGAAAGTAAGTTCTAGAGCTAAACATTCGGAGGTAGAAACACTCTGGGTGCTGCTTTACAGCAGCAAAGTTGGGATTGAGGGGAAGTAAGGACAGAGTGTGGGCCTTCCGCCTGCTCTCTGAGAAGGAATAATGGTAGTTTTGGCTCTGGAAGGGAAGATTGTGAACAGGTTCAGAAACTACCCAGAATGCTATGGCGTGATCAGTAGGTCAGTAGATGTGTGACTGTGTCAGGGTAGAGGAGAATGGTCTGGGAGCAGTGATGAAGAACCTTAAGGTTAGTACAGAATGAGCCTGAGACATAAGTAGCCTCTTCTCAGGAGAGCCACAGTGCAAAGCTGTGTGCAGGGGTAGCCAGGCTTTACTTCTTGAAGTGTGGGAGATTCACAGGGCTTGAACCTGGGTGCCTTGAGATGGGCTGGCTGGTCCCTAGCTGCTGCTGTTCTAGATGGTGAGGTTGACACCATTTGCCTCTGACTGGACATCTGGTTCTTCCATTGATGATCAAACTCCAAGCCTTCTTGTATCTAGAAACTACCTCCACTTTCTCTAGTCTTCCCCACCTCTCATTAACATGCTCCCTTTCTTCTGAAACCCCACCTCCTCAGGAAGTCTTCAAACCTTGCAGTGTCCGGGATTCCTCGCCCATGATGAAAAAGCAACCTTCAAACACCTTGCCTTTGCTCTTCTTGCCACTACAACCTCCAGAACTTCAGGGATGCCTTCCTAGAGCTACAGCTTGAGGAATCATTCTGCTTCTTTGTCTCCTGTTCTTGTTGTTAAACATTTTCAAGCCTGTGCCTTGAGTTTCCAAACTACTTTATCTCTTCTCTATATGTGAAAACATGAAAAGAAACGGGCAAAAAGGATCCAGCTTGGACCAGCTCCAGAGAGCAACTCCTTCCAGGGATCTTATGGTTCTGGGTGCTTTATTTGGGTCCCCAAAAAGTCCAGGACCCACGTGAATCCTTGCCATTTTGGTCGTCATCTTTTCCATGGTTTGCTTCCTAGGGTCCATACTAAGCTGCTCTGTATGACCTTGGCTACCAAGAAACAGAAGCTCTCCTCAGACCTGAGCTCTTGACCTGAGGAGCCCATGTTCAGTGCCTCCTACACCTTGTTTATGTGAACTTCATAATAGCAGGCACCCAGTGTCTGTAAAACCATTTTGTTGCCTAATGTAAATGTACATTTGCTGGTCTCTGTCTTCCACAGAAGGAGCCCTGGTGGTGCAGTGGTTAAGTGTGTGGCTGCTAACCAAAAGGCCTGCCTTTAGAACTCACCAGGCGCTCCACCAGAGGAAGATGTGGCAATCTGCTCCTGTAAAGATTACATCCTTGGAAACTCTATGGAGCAGTTCTGCTCTGTCCTGTAGGGTCACTATGAACCAGAATCAGCTTGATGGGAATGAGTTGTTTTGGTCTTCCACAGAGACTCATAGGCTGCCTTCACCAGCCCTTCTGTTGAGACCACAGTGCCCCATCTTGAGCCCTAATGAAGGATGTGGTCTCTTTAGGGCTGAGCCAGCTTCTGGCAAGGCAGGAGAAAGGAGCATCTCTAAACTCATTAACAGAGCAGGCACACGCAAGTCTTTTTTTTTTTTTTTTTCTTTTTTTCCTCCTTCCATTTTTCCCTGGAAGACACCTATTAGGGAGTATGAGTTTTGCCTCTCCCCATCAACTTTATTTGTTGCTTTATTCATTCATTGCCTTTTCTAATTCTTATGCAAAAATGTGTCTTAGACTCCATTTATCTCCAAAGCCCTGCATGGGTGTATTGGCTTCCCCAGAGCATAGGGCCCAGCATTGACAGTCATGTAACTTAAGTGCTACTGATGCTGGTCTCCAGTTAACCCTCTGGTATGCCCTGGTACCTGCAAGAAGGACATTGCGATCCAGGCCTCAGGATCTAGCCCTCCAGCTCTGACCAGCTCTCTTTGCCTTCCAGGGAAAGTGCATTTCTTCTCTAGTGGCCTTCTGTTTTTTCACCGTCATCATGGAAGTATCATCATTTCCAAGAATCACATGAATTCCATTTCGTTCTATGATGGGGTAGGTGTTTTATCAGTCCATGGCTTTGGTGTTTAGAGATACTCAGACTTCTGATGGGAAAAACCAGATAACTCCCTATCTCCCCCCTGCCACCATGGGGCAAGATATGGGGAATGAGCAATGCCCTTAAGGCAGGCGAGGAGGTCATAGACAGGCCTGGGCATCCTCAAGCCTTGTCAGCCTCTCTATTCTGAGCCAAGGGCTTAGCCAGAAAGGACTTCTGGGACAGGAGTGCCAGTAGCTACCCATGCCCAATTCTCTTATCCTAAAAGGGACTAGAAAAAAAAGCCTCCAATGCCCCTCACAGATGTCCAGCCCAAGGACACAAAGGCTCACCCACTTAAGAACTAAAGAGAAGCTACATAGATGGGGATCCACATACCCGTCAACATGGGAAAAATTTTAAGTGAGCCAGAGGGAGAAAAATGGCTAACTTTTCCCTTGCGAGCTTAGCTCCTCCTCCCTTACCTAGTCACCTTTAACCTTCAGCTCCATGAAAGCCTATGTCCCAGAACCATCCTTTAACTTGACCTGTCTGCATCAGCACTTTCTAGGCAGGAGAGAAGGTATATGACTTTTCCTTTGGCTGTATCCCCTGGCTAGGGGCACGGCTTGTCTCATTAGACCACAAGAACAGAGGGCAGCTCTCCGGCTACCTGATCTCAACCTCTCAGTCAGACTGTTTAGGAGCCAGGAGAAAGACTAGGTGAGGTGGTTGGTCAGATGGCTCAGGAAACAAATTCTATGAGCAAGTCTTTCTTCTACTTAGTGCCTGTTGCCTTAAAGGCTATTCAAAAGGGCAGACCAACCAACCTGATAGATTGATTGGCCCTATGAAATAAAAGTCTTCATAGTAGGATAGAGAGTCTTCTAACATCAGAAAAGAAAGGACAAATTATTCAGGAAACAATGCTGGGACAATGTTGTTGTTGCTATCTGCTTTAGAATCTGTTCCAACTTATAACGACCCTATAGGACAGAGTAGACTTGTTCCATCAGGTTTTCTAGGCTGTAATCTTTACAGGAGCAGATGACCAGGTCTTTTCTTCCAAGGAGCCACTGGTAGATTCATATCACTAGCCTTTCTGAGTGCTTACCCCATTGTGCCACTAGGTCTCCTCTATTAGAGCAATGGGTTAGCTAACTGAGGGTTGGGGGAGTGAGAATGCATTCTTACCTCATATTAGAAACCAAAATAAACTTCCAATAGATTAAAATTAAGTATTTTTAAATTTCCCACTATAGAAAGCAGGATTAAAAAGTCACAAGACCATGGCCCTTAGTCACTCTTTGGGCCTAGAGTTAAACTCACTCCCATGGCCTAACTTTCAGCCAAACAGTAGGCCTACAGGATGAGCAATTGCACCAGGAAGGTGCACTCCTTAGAACAATCAACCATGGGAGATCAGGAAGGCAGCATTTTCACAGAGAGACAGCTCAGAAGGCAGGGATGCATAGGAAAGAAGAACACAGGGAAAAGGTAACTACGGGGAGAAAGTGGGGAGAGTTGTTACGTTGTGGGTATTGTAGTCAATGTCAAAAAACAAAATCTGTATGAACTGTTGAATGAAAAATGAAATTGCTCTGTACACTTTCACTTAAATCACAATAAAAAGTTAATAATTTTTTTTTTTAAAAAAAGAAGGATTAAAAATAAATATTAAACTTGTAGGGGCAGAAAGACTGTAAGGTTAGAAATAATAAAGGAAATTCTAAAGGAAGAGTTCACCAAATTTCACCATATTTCACTTAAAAATTTCTAATTTTTTTGATAATTTACTTTATCAAAATATAATTTAAAGATTTGGCAGAATATCCAGCCATGAAGCCACCATCACAACCAATATACAGAAGATTTTCATCACCCCAAAAAGTTTCTTCATGCTCTCTGCTGTCCATCCTTCCCTCTGTCCTTCATGCAACCACTAGTTAACTTTCTGTCACTGCAGATTAGTTTGCATTTTCTAAAACGTTATGGAAATGAAAATCATGCATTATGTACCCTTTTGAGTCTGGCATTTTTCACTCAGCGTAATGGTTTTTATATTCATCCATGTTATTGCATATATTGATAGTTTGTTTCTTTTTATTGCTGAATTATATCCTATTGTATGAATATACCATAAAATCTATCAGACTCCTTAATAATTTAAAACTTCTAATAAGTAATTTCAAAAAGAGAATGAAAAGGCAGAAATACAAACTGGGAAAAATGTTTTTCATGATTAAAACAAACAAATACCTCTTTCCTACAAAGAGAAACATGAAAACATGTTAGGCTGAAAACACTGAGTGTCAAGTCAGGTATGTTCAGAGGGCACAAGGCTAATTATCAGATATATGAAAACACATAACAAACTACCCCACATTAACCAGATGATGGCCTGAGAGGAGTAAGATACAGTCACTGGAAATGTTTACAAATAATGTATAACAACATGGCAGATGCTAAGGGTAAATTAAATTTTAAAAGCAGGCTATGGAACTATGAAAAATAAGGATGATTTTTTACTACATAAAAAAGGCAAGTCAATGAATACGTGGGAAGAAAGACTAGAAGGAAAAGTATTAAAATGTTAGCTGTAGTTTGACTGCTAACCAGAAGGCTGGCAGTTCAAACCCACCAGCCACTGCTTGGAAGGAAGGTTGGGCAACCTACTTCCGTAGTGATACCGCCTTGGAAACCCAAGGAGGAGTTGCTGTGAGTCAGATCCAACTCCACGGCAGAGAGTTTGGGTTGTGTTTTTTTGTTTTTGTTTTTAGGTGATAGGACTTCGGATTCATTTTGTTCAGCCCTCTTTTCCTGTTTTATTTATATTTTTTCAAATTTGTATTTAATAAACATATAACTCTTATAATGAAAAATCAAATGTTAAGAAAGAAAACAACTAGAATGCCTTTTGAGGCTTGAGGACCATTTGCAAAGGTTAAAACCTTATCATAACCCTTGACTAATTAAAGCTTGAGTTGGCATGGTCAGCCTTTACCCTGACCTCAAGCTGGTTATGCTGCTGTGTCAGAGCCTACCTCAACTGGCACACACCAATCTGGCCCCCCATCAGGTTACTTAAGCCTGACTTACCCCTGACATGAGTGCCCCCAGATGGACAGACAGGCCCCTCACAGGGAGGTGAGCCTGTGAGCATGGTAGCTCACCCAAAGCACTTGGTCTCGCTATGTGGACAGGAATGGGATGCGCCTTCTAGGGTGGGTGGAAGCAAAGCACACTGGCCTCTGGCTTTCCCAGGGCTCAGCCATTTGTTCTGCCCCCTGTATTCTAGCTTCCCTAAAGGCTGTCCACCTAGTAGCTTTAACTGCCTCTAACCCAGCAGAGGGGTCTAGCCCTCAAAGGAGGCAGCCTCCCTGATCCTGGGGGAGCCTGAACCTCTCTAGGATCTAGGGTTCATCCCCTTCCAGGCACCTATGGCCCTCCAAGAGACACAGCAATGAGAGTCATAGGAATCTCTTCATTTTAGTCTTTGTTGTAGATTGACATCAAATGAAAGCACAATTTACTAAACAGTTGTGCAGGATGTATATGTGTTGTGATCAAAATACCTGGCTCCCTGCTAACTGGCTTGACACTGAGGGTTAGCTTTTCCTAACATCTGCAAGAGTGGCCAGCCAATGTTACCTTCAGACAATGCTCTCTGAGTGCTCTTTCCCTCGATTGAGCGTTAGAGTACTGACTGGTGGAGGTATCACAATGGGCTCCAGGCAGATGCTAGAAGTACCAGCTCTTCTCTGCTGCTCCGTCTCTTCACCAGCCTCTTTGGAGCTGGACGTGGAGCGTCTGCCTGGAGGGATGTGAGTGGTGAGAAGGAGGCTCTGCAGGGGGGACGGGTGAGAGAATGGAGTGTCTTTGCCCCTGGGGATGCCAACAGGAATAGCTCCCTTTGAACCAGAAGTCTGGTCTACCTGGAATCTAGATAAAAAGAGTAATTGGAATTTATGCCATTCTGCAGTGAAAAGGGTAATCTATTTTTCCCATTCTGTTTGTGGCCAATTTTCCTTAGGCTACTGAAGTACAGGACACAACAGAGAAGTGGAAAAGTAGTCCTAAGATGCTCTAATGGAGCTCTGGTGGCTCAGTGATTGAAGAATTCAGCTGCTGACCAAAATGTCAGTGGTTTGAACCTACCAGTTACTCCAAGGAGAAAAATAAGGCAGTCTGCTACCATAGAGTTACAGCCTTGGAAACTCTGTGGGACAGTTCTACTCTGTCCTGTAGGGTCACTATGAATTGAAATTGACTCCATGGCAGTGGGTAGTGGGTAAGGTGCTCTAGACTGAGAGTAGCAGCAGGTGGGCCACTGCCCTAGAAGCTCAGTGCCCTGAGAGCCGAGTCTGCCTTTAGCTTCACGGCCGTTGTTTCAGGTGAGCCCTGAGGTTAGTTTCGTCTCTTCCACTACACACGCTTATGTCTGCACAAGAGCACATATCAGCACACATTCTCTCTCTTTCCCTTTTTTTTGCTTGTTACGGGTTTGATACTAAATCAGGAGTTGGAGATGAAAGTGAAATGCTAAACACCCCTTTTTCGTGGGAAGACAGATATTGGCTAGCCCATCAAAATACGAAGGTCTTTTCTTACCCAAGACTTGGTGACCATGGTTTTATTTTAGTCTTCCCTTATTCTCACTTTTTTTTAACAGGGCCTACCTTGACCACCTATTTAATAGTGTGACCTGCCCACTCCCCAGTGGCACTGGGTCCCACTCCACTTCCATTTTCCCTTATACTGATGTACTGTCTCCTTTTTTTTCTATAGCACTTAACTGTCTTCTAACATAGGGCGTAATTCATTTATTACGTTTATTGATTATTGTTTGCCCCCTCCCCACCCGCCACCACTACCACTCCCAGAAGGAAAGGCATCCTGTCTGTTTTGGTCAGGGCTGAATCCTGAATTTCTAAAATAGTGACGAGCACATAGCAAGCACTTGTGTTGAATAAATATTTGTTGAGTGAATTAAAAGGAGGAGGAAATGTGTAACCTGAACAGGTTAGTTACTGCATAGAGTAGTAATTATGACTGTTTTGTCCTCAGCACAATGCCTTGCCATATAATAGGCACTTATGAAGTACTGGTTGAATCAGTGAATAACCTCAAAGGCTGAAGAGGAGCCTCAGCATTGTTGGCTATGTCTGAACATAGACTGAATTTCATTGCCCTAGAAAGAATTTTAAGGTGACATTTTCAGTTTAGGAGAAAAGACCTTTGTACTTCTTATATCTCTTGTAACTAAGTATTAGAAATTATGTTCTATTACTGAGCCCCAGAAAACCACATCCTGTGAAAATAATTGGTCTCAGGTTGTGAGGCCTGATACAGTGAAAGTAAATAGCTTTTCTCACCCATGCTCCCTCTCTTTCTCTTTAGGACTCCACCAGTGTTGTTGCCGCCCTTCTAATAGAATTCAAAAGCTCATTGCTGCCTCATCTGCCAGTTCATTTCCATGGACCAAGCAATTTTCTGATGATTGCCCTTTTCCCCAGATCAAAGATATACCAAACATTTTACTCAGAGGTAATATCAGTCATTATTCAGCAAAACAACTACCATTTCTTTTCCCTAGCAATTTAGATGGTGAAGCAGTGTCTCAGGGCTAACAGTGAGGTGATGAGAGGCAGAATTGGGAGGGATGGTGGAGGAGGAGGTAGCTGCTTCTAATCCCTTCAGGTCCTAGAATTATGCTCTTGTCAGGGGAGGGGTGAGAGCCTTAAAGGAACTGAACAATGGGCTTTTTAGCTTCTTAGAAAATTCTCCTTTGTCCCCTTTAAATCCTAATTAGACTCATTTCCCTCCTACTTGCTTCATTGAATTGTTGGGCCCTACCCCCTGGAACAGAGCCTTGTACCCCACCCTGTGCTCTCCTTCCTCCCTTGTGGTTCACATCCCCTCAGGGATGGTTCCATCTGGCAGGCTGCACTCTGTAGGTGCTCAACACAGTTTTTGTGTAACTGAGGGAGCCTACCCAGAATTACATGACCCTTACACACCAAGCAGTAGCCGAATTTAAAAGGATGACCAGCCTGGTGACTGGTGGAAATGTTTGGGAAGGTATGATTACAGCAGCTTGTGAGGAGACGGTGCCCCTACCTCAGAGTAGATTCTCACGGAGGAGACAAGAGCTGGCCTTGGCTCCAAAGTGGCTTCTCAGTCTAGTCTATGTCTCTGGTCCTTCCTACCTCCTTGTGGTTATCCTTTCAATCTGGGAATCTAGAGATTCCTTTAGAATGTTGAGATTTCTTTAGATTCTTTTCAACCATTCCCCTGTTGGCAGGTGTTGATTGACCCATTCCTGTCTATCCAGCCCTGTCACCAGGGTAGAAAATTCCCCTATTGCCAGAACATTGTTACCTGGCAATTTCCTCTGTGTCTTCTGACCTTTGAAGGAGCAGAATCCCTGATGAGAGGAACCCAGAGAGAAATTCTGCTTTTGAAAAATACAGGACAAAATTGCTCCTAGCCCCTATTTTTGAAGCAAACTTGTTTGTTATAATGGTTTTTCTCTGCTCTGACAGACTAGATTTTCAAATCCCCATGTGGGTTCCATATCCTGTTGTTGGGTTTAAAGTGTTCTTTGCTCAAATTCTGTTTTGTTTAGGTGTTCTCCCCCTGGCAACAGCAGGCTAATTCAGGGCTCTCTTTAAAAGTGATCCAGGAAGATGGATTATCTGTGGAACAAAGGAGATTGTAAGTGGCTGCCTCCAAGTGTTTAGGCTTGCTTCCCTAAGCTTTGTGTGTGTGTTTTCCCTGCAGGATGACTTGTGTTATATAACACAGGGGTTTTGGCTTCTAAAAGGGCCAGCACAGTCATTTCAGTGGGGCCAACTTGCGGGTAACCGGTGCCCTTGGGGAAACAGAAGGCAAGAGAGATGAAGTCAACCAAGAATCAGAAATCCATAGTGTCTCCAGAGGGCTCCAGGCCAAACTTCATATGTGGGCACACCGGCCCAGTTGGCACTATGTCAGGTGGGCATGACAACTCACCATGCCAGCCTGCCAGAAAGGGGTAAAGGTAATAATCTGTACTCTGGAGATAATGAGCCGAAAGTCCTCATGTTTTAATAAACCAGAAAACTCACTGCCATGGAGTCAGACCCGATTCATAGCAACCCCTCCTTGGGTTTCCAAGGCAGTATTGCTACGGAAGTAGATTGCCCAATCTTCCTTCCGAGGAGTAGCTGATGGGTTTGAACCGCCAGCCTTCTGGTTAGCAGTCAAATCCCTTAGGCACTGTGCCACCAGAGCTACTCATGTATTAACACCATATTTTAAGTCAGTGAGATGCTTGTTTTGGAAGAGTTCACACTGTCACGGGACTTGGGCTTGAAAGCATCAGGAGTATGAGATGCTTAAAGGATGTGTGCTGTAGGGACATAGAAGTCTAATCCAGGAGCTTCTGGTATTGCAGACACTCCAACGCACAGAAGCTCTTCAGTGCCCTGAGCCATCCTGCTGGGGAGAAACAGCGTCCTCTGAAGCTACTCTCAGCCAGACACCCAGAGCTGGACTGGTGAGCTCTGGTTTTCCGTTCTTAATTGGGATTTCAAATGTCAGAAACCTCAATGTTGGTCCTTTCCAAATTCGTCTTTTCTTTATATCTTCTTTGGGTCATTGTAAAAGTAATAGTGACACCCTATATAGATTGTTGCTTTCCAGAGAGAATCTCTCTAAGGTTTATTTACTTTTCAGCATTTAAGTAAGAACTTTCTCGTGTGAATGAGCACGTTGAGGCAAGGCTGGCCAGGCTGGCGAAGGTAACAATAGCATTGTCTTTGTTCTTCCAGGTTTCTCCAGCATTTCGCAGTCAGCAGCATTGGTCGGGAGCCTGTGATGAGGACCCATCTTCCTGTTGTGCTACAGCAAACTGAAATCAACTCTCCTCTCAGAGTAGAAAATGACAAGGTAGAGGAGCTCACCAAATACGCTGAGAATTCACAGGAGATAATCCTGATAGCCTGCCCTTGGGTCTTTTGTGTCCATGAACAAAAGGAGCTCAGGTAGAGTTCCCTTATAAGATTCTCCACCTCCCTGGATACAGATGTAATGCTACACATGAAACCCGCTCTGTACAATGACTGCGTACAGGCATCTACATTAACCCTGGCCAAGCCACATGACAATGATACAACCCTGGTATCTTGCCCTGCCCTCCCCTTGCTTGTCCACCTTTTAAACTCTTACTCTGTTCTCTCATGCCATCAACTCTTCCTTGTTGTAACAGAGACTTACCTGAGAATGGTTGACACGTTGTGCTTAATAGGAGGGAGGGAGCCCATGTAGATGGGCCTTGCTGGCATCTCCAGAGAAAGTTGATACTTTACAAACATTCTCTTCCTAAGAGTAGACTTTAACCTGCTCCTGCCTCACACATGCCTCCTCTTGACCCCTCTCCCAGCATTCCTTTGAAACCATATGTTATAATATACTCAAAGCAGGTGTTTCTTTTTGTGCAACTCTTGAAGACACTCAGATGCAAAAGACAGTCGAAGCACTAAGAAATTAGAAGTATCATTTTCCCTTATGCCTAAAAACCTGAAAATGCCTATTTGTTGTGTTTTGTTAAAAAGGTGCTCCAGGACTGGCCTTAAAGTAAGAAGGCATCTGGCCATATGCATGCACACTGATGCTAGGGGCTGAGACCTACCACTGGGAAATAGGAACCAAATAGTTAAACTGTGGCTGGGAGGAGCATAAACCAAAAGTCAATTACATGGACTGCCCCAAGGGGGCAGAAAGGAGTACAGAGTAGGGGTCCTAGTCAGTGAGGATGAGAGGAGAGCTTCTGGTTCCCAAAGAAGAGGGATCCCTGGCCATGTTTGTGCTGATGTGACTAGCTCAAGTGATGATGAGTACCACCAAGCTTAGCTTTAGCATGATTATCTGGACCGGGCCTGTTCCAGGGAGTCTTGGATATTGTGGACTAAAACATGTACTTAGAGGCTTTTGTAGCATGTCTGTCTCACTGACATAGACATCCTTTAGGATTATATGATTTATCTCCTACCTTGCTTGACTCCTTTTGTCAATGAATTTCTTCAAGTTGCTTTGGAATATCTACCTGGAGAACAGGTAGATATGTTTTTTTGTGGTCATATAATAAGGTTAGGACAGTCAGCCTGGCTCTCATTTCCTTCCTTTCTCAAGAATGAAAAGTGTTTCCCACGCCCATTTGTTAGGACTTAGCCCAGGCCAGGTGGCTTGGAGGGCACAGGAAGCCAGAAAGAAGGAAGCCATTCCTCTCCTCTACAGAGTTTACCACATGCCTGTGGCATTTTCATGCCAGACCTCTTTCTTGCCCTATATTTTCCTTAGTATTACTATTAAAAATAAGTCATATTATCCCTGAATGTCTGCTGTACAAAAGATATCTCTGGTCTCAAGCACTTAAGCTCTTGAATGCATTATGATTTAACTGATCTGTTCACAGCCTGCTGAGAGTCAACCCCATAGAAATTCTAATTGTAACATTACATGTTGTATAGTGTTTGCTATGTGCCAAGCACTGTTCTAAACACTTTACATATATTAGTTCAGCTAATCCTCACATCTGCCGTGCAAAGTAGGTTTTGTCATTAGCTCAAGATCACATAGCTGGTAAGTGGTGGTGCTGAGGTTCGAAACTACAGATCCTGGATCCAGTTAGTTCTCTTAACTCTTACACAATGCTGCCTCTGAGTTGAATTGCAAACCCACATGACTTTTCTTTCATGTAGGTAATTATCAACATTGTAACTGGCCTCCCAGGCTGTCATGCTAGTGAGCTCTGTGCTTTTCTGGTCAAGCTGCATAAGGAATATGGCAGGTTAGTATGGCTGCTGCCTTTGCTTTGGGGAGAGGGAGTCTGGGCCTGGGCCTAGGACTGGGAAACCTTCGACATGTACAGGTTTCCCCTGTTTTCCAAAAGTAGAGTGTTCCTATGAAACCTCTCATAAGCCATAATGGTGTAAAGCAAACAAGCAATTACCATTAATTTATATGGGAAAATTTTTTCAGCATTCTCAGGCTCAAAAAGTAACCTACCGGGTCATACCAAATAATGCATAAAACCTAAAATAACACTAACATACAGTGTTCACAGGAGCTCTGGTAGCATAGTGCCTAAGGCACTTGACTGCTAACCAGAAGGCTGATGGTTCAAACCCACTAGCACTCCTCGGAAGGAAGGGTGGGCAATCTACTTCCGTAGCGATAACGCCTCAGAAACCCAAGGAGGGGTAGCTGTGAGTCGTGTCTGACTTGACAGCACATAACAACAACAACAACATAGTGTTCACAGACACAGTTCAATATTATGGCAGCTTCATTCTGAGTGTAGTTCCACAGAGGGAACTTGGTGATGCCACTCCCACTGCTTGGGGAGTATGCTGCCTCTTTAAAAGCTTGCTGCAAAACAAACACTGAAAGCTGGTTTTGCTTTTCACTTTTTTTCATAAAAGTAAAAATCCTCTTCAAATTTCTTTTGGTTAGTGAAAACAGATACTAATGTAGGTCTTTTATAAAATCTAAGTGGTGTAAAGTGAACTTTCAAAAAGTGGGGATACCTGTGCTGACCTTTGGTGTAATCGTATCAGCACAGTAACCATCCATCCATCTACATCAGCACTGACCAGGCACTGTTCTAAGAGTGGGGGATATGTCAGTGAACAAAACAGACAAAACAAATCTCTCCTTCATGGAGCTTACTTTCTAGTTTGAGGAGACAATTACCCAGATAACCAAAACATAGTATATATCAGCTAGTGGAAAGTGCTATGGAGAAAATAAAGCAAGGAAGAATGTGGGAAGTGTGGGGGTGGGATTCCATTTTTAAATCATATAATCAGGGAAGGCCTCACCAAGAAGAGGATGTTTGGGCACTGACATTTGGGCAATGGCAGGAGGGAATAAAGGAATAAGCCATGCGTGTATCTGGAAGAAAAGCATTTTAGCAGTAGTACCAGCAAGTGCAAAGGCCTGAGAGTGTGCCTGGTCAGCAGGAATATGGGAGTTGGAAGGTGTGGTGATCCTTCGAGGACCAAAAGGAGACTGTGTGAGTTCAGGTGCAGCTGGGACATGTTGTTGGTTCATGTGAAATTGGGAAAATCATTCATCCACCACTTCCACCTGGCTGGCCAATTACTAAAAAAGCCTTGCTATCTAAACCAGGCGTTTAATATCTAGTCGGTCTACCCCAATGTAAGGCATCCTATAAGGAGCCATAGAAGAATTGAAATTGCCTAGAGGGTTGGGAATTTGGGGTGGGAGATGGATGTTACAAGCAAGTTTTGGAGAGATACTAGGGAAATACCAGACTTTTGTACTTAATTAGTGAGTAACCAATTCTTCGTTTCTAGTTCTTTTGTTCTGTGTTGTTGTTGGGTGCCATTGAGTCAAATCTGACTCATAGCAACCCTGTGTGACAGGGTAAAACTGCACCATGGGTTTTCCTAGGCTGTGATCTCCATGGGACCAGATCTCCAGGTCTTCTCCTTTAGTGCACTGGTGGCAGGTTAGTATGACTTAACCACTGTGCCACCCAGGCTTCTTTTTTTGTTGTATAAATATTGTAAATTATTCACCTTGCCTATTTCTTATTTTTAGTAAGTCTTACTGACCACCAAGACTGAAGTCAGTTTATTGAATGGTCCTTCAGGAAGTAAGGAGCTCTGGTGGCATAGTGCCTAAGACATTTGACTGCTAACAAAAGGCTGGCAGTTCAAACCCACCAGTCACTCCTTGGAAGGAAGATTGGGCAATCTACTTCCATAGTGATACCACCTTGGAAACCCAAGGAGGGGTCACTATGAGTCAGATCCAACTCGATGACAGTGAATTAGTTTTTTTGTTTTCAGGAAGTAGCTGCCTGGTTAGAGGGAGTCTTTCTCACCTCTGAAGTCTGTTGGTCATGTGCTTACCTGACCTCTTTCCCTGTAGCAAGAGATTTCTTATCAAAAGCCCCAGTGATAATGGTTTCAAAATACTGGACTGTCAACCAGTCAGGGCCCTCCGTCTTGCTCCGCAGTGCCAGGATTGCTTTCTCCTGTACAGATTCACTGGGCACAATGTCTGTGAGAGTCACAAATGGAAGGTCACATTTGAATCCACTTGTAGGAATAGGGCAAGGCCATTAGGTGGTCCACCAATGAGATTTCATTTGCCATTTCCAGGTGGATGGTGTACCGCCAACTCATGGATAGCTCTGAATGTTTTCATGCTGCCCACTTCCAGAGATACCTTTCCAGTGCCTTGGAGGCCCAGCAAAACCGCTCCACCCGCCAGTCAGCGTACACTCGCAAGAAGACCAGACTGCTGGTGGTGTTACAAGGGTAAGTATTAGAAGTCTGTGGGGACAATGGGGTGGGAGTGGTGACCTTGCCTTTACTGATTCTTCATGTGTAGCAAACCTGAGACACAGAGCAAACTACACAGGAGCAAGAAGGTATCTGAGCTACACAGAGGCCTTAATAGTACAGCACTTCTATTGCTATTCTGTGGCCTACAGTGACTGATATAGCTTGCACACAAGTTTTAAGTTTTGCATCATCTTCATAATATCCCCAAAGGTGGGGAGTTGGGGAGGAGGTTTTCTGGGCAAGGCTCCTCACTAATTCTGGTAACAGTAGTTGTCTTTAGACCTCTTCCTTTACCATCTACCTAAGGGAATTTTGCCCATTTCAGTCCTTCCTCTTAGGGAACTGCAAAGATGGCCCTATGCTCTGCCGTCTCCATCCACACTGTCCCTGGGATGCTGGCCATGAGGATTTCCTAGGACTCTTAGTGAGGGACATGAATAGTCCAGTTGAATAAAGACCTCCCATTTCATGATTGTGTACATAGCTGTGAGTGTACAATGAATGGCTAATGAAATCCTTGAGTACTCAAAATTATTATGGTCATGACATATGAGAGGGTAGATTTGACAGAGTGTATAGCACAGCTTCTAGGACCCTGCCTGCAGGGAGCTTCCCTTGACCTATGGAAGACTTCCAGGGAGGAGCCCCATGCAGGCCTGTCACCCACCACCCCAGCCCCAGAGGGGAAGTACCAGGTCAGGGAAAGTATGGGCTATGCTTTCACTAGTGTCATTATGATCACTAATAAAGAAGCTTTGGGCAATCCTCACAAAGTGCTTTTGTGCTATGCTATGGTTTTTTTTGTGATCATAATAATTACTGTTTGCAGTTGGCTAGCTGTTTCCAGAATGGGTCCAGATCCAGAGCCCTGTTTAGTCTCCTGAGTGTGACCATGGGAAATGGAGCAAAGCTGGACCAGTGATCCTGAGGAGGAGGCAGGTGGTGGGACTGTTTATCCTACTAAGCCATTATCTTTGGCTGGGTTCTCTAGAGAAGCAGAACTAGTGAAGCTACATATATACGTATATATGTAGTTTTATGTAAATATATGTAAACTTATCTCAGGAAAATGGCTCACAAAGTTGTAGAGGCTGGCAGGTCCCAAGTTCACGGGTCAAACATCAAACTGGAGGCATCACCTGACTCACACAGCTGCAGGGGCTAATGAACCCAAGATCAACAGGCAGTATATTAGGCTACTGGCTTTGGCAGATGATGAATCCAAGATAGGCTGGTAAAATTGCACATTGTTGGCTCACAAGCAATGAAGGCAACATTCCCAAGATAAGCAGGCAGTATGACAGGTCACTGTTTCAGTCCAAGAACCAGAGATGGTGATGAGCTGGATGCAGGATCCAGATCCAGCAGAAACACAGAAAATGTTCCCATGACATCCATATACGTATCAGAACCAGACCACACAACTGAGTAAACTCCCTTTCAATTGAGTGGCTGCTCATAGAACATCTTATCATGGAGGTGGTTACATCACAACCTCTGAAACCACTTAGAATTATGGTCTGTCCAGCCAGGTTGACACACAGCCTTAACTATCACAGCCATCATTCATCTTCTTCAGACCTTTTTCTTACACTGTGCCTCAGGCCTCCCTTCTGTCAGCCCTTTAGTTCTTCTATGGGCCAAGGTTGCAGAAGCTATAGAGGAAGAGTATGGGCCTGAAACCACTTATTTTCTTCTGATTTTCCATCACTTCCAATGGTCAAAGGAATTCACTGCCCCAAATCCATCACCTCCTGCTCCTGTCAGAGTTGGAATTGTGAACCTGGAGACAAATTTGGCAACTTGAGAATGTGCAGCCAAGGTCATTTCCTTCTTCCTTCACTTCCAAAGGCATTCTTGATTCCCTGTCTCTGACTTGACCTGCAGAAACATCAGCTGCTGCAGCTGCTTCTGCACTGCAAGAACTGTCTATGGCCAGCCCAGTCATGTACTGTCAGAGCCAGCCTTTGCCCAGCCTTAGCCATAGGACCCTAGGGACCTCAGAGAGATTTCCTGAAGGACTCAAGTCAGACTGTCAGCTGACTGCTGATTCCTCCCTGAAGCACGTTCAGGCTGGGCCCATTGTCTTAGGGCTCAGCAAGAGCATGGGGCAACCTCCTTTGTAGCAGGCCCATCTCCTTGGGGCTGGACGTTCAAGCCCATTATTTATTTATTTTTTTTTTAATTTGTAGAAATTGCTTTCCAGTTTATTCTTTTTTTTTTTTTTTTTAATTGTGATTTAGGTGAAAGTTTACAGAGCAAATGCACTTTTCATACAGCAGGTCATGTACACTTTGTCTCATGACATTGACTATAATTTCCCACAGTGCAGCAGCTCTCCTCCTACTTTCTCCTCTTAGTTACCTCTTGTGATGGTTATGTTTGTGTGTCAACTTGGCTGGGCCTGGCTGAGTGACTGGGCAGCTGGTGGTAGTATACCCATGATGAGACTGGCAATCAAGTCCATGGTGGGATCTACCATAAGCAGCTGAGTAGCTGCCTTTGGGATGTGGTCTGCTTCCTGTATATAAGGAGAAGGCTTGGGAATGGCCTCTAGCCTATGGCACGCTTGGACCCTGCATGTAGCCATGTTGTTGCTCAGCAGCCTGCTATGCTCTGCCAACCTTGGGACTTACAATAGACTTAAGTTAATGGCCTGCCATGTGGTTTGGTAACATCATGACTGTGCCATTTTACTTGTCAACTTTGGGGCTTCTTGGCCTCAGCAGCCAGCAGCTGTCTGAGTGAAGAAAAGCCTCTAGCTCCAGTGGGCCGGGAACAGGAGGCAGAGCTGGACCCCAAGGTTGAGGGGCTTTCACCCAGCCCCTAGAGCCTGGCACTTTGCACTTGGACTTAAAGCCACCAAATTATAAGAATAAACTCCTGTTTGTTAAGGCCATCCCATTTGTGGTATATTCTTGTCAGAGTGGTACTAGGTAACTAGAACACCTCTTCCCTGTGGCCTTCCCTCCCATGTGCTCCTGCCCCCTGAGCATCTCCCTGTGCATACACAGCCCTTCTATTCTCCCATGATTGATCTCTCCAAGGAGTGTATCTGCCTAATGTATATATAGCTCCTATCAGATATAAAAGACAGATATATGCCTGTCTTTTGTTTGGCTGGAAGCCACAGGAGTGGGTTCAATTCCAGACCTAAAGAGCAGCTAGGGACCGTAGTCAACAGTGGTTCCATCAGGCTCTATCAGACCAGCAAACCTGGTCCTTTTTTTTTTTATTTTAATGATTTTGAGTTTTATTCCACATTGTTCTCCCATTCTATCCAGAATCTCCTATATAGATCCCCCTCAGAGTGGTTGACAGTGGTAGCCAAGCACCATCTAGTTCTGGTCTCATAGTCGCATAGGTTGAGGATCTCATGGTGTACCAGTCACTTGGACTAACTGTTTCATGCACCTTTGGTTTTCTTCATTCTTCTTTGCTCTGGACAAGGAGAGACCCATCGTTGCATCTAGATGGCCACTTGCAAACTTCTAAGATCACAGTTGCTACTCACCAGAGTAGGATGTGAACCAATGTTTTTGTGTGGTGTGTTATGCCAATTGAGTCAAGCCCATTATTGAGGTTCTTGGTGGAGGGAGATCCCAGTGGCTTCACAAAGTTATAATTTTATTCCCTGAATAAAGCGTTTGTCTTCATTTGTAGGATTCTTTGGGGAAAACCTATGGTACAGGGTTGAGTTTTCTTTTGCCCCCAGAGTGGCTCTGTTCCATTTGATTTACTGCAGTGTATAGGAAGGTCCTGGTGAGTATTGACATCAAGTGTAGCTGTTAGTTGTTGTTATAAAATTTGAATCAGTGTATTTTGAAATGACAAAATTTTAGAAATGGAATACAGATTAGTGTTTGCCAGGGGTTAGGGATGGGATCAGAAAGTACAAGTGGTTATAAAGGGCAACATGAGCGATCCTTGTGGTATTAGAACTATTTAGTATCTTGACTGCGCTGGTGGATACAGGAATATACACAGGTGATAAAATTGTATAGAACATAATGTACACACAGACACACATGTGAGTATAAGTAAAATTGGGGAAATCTGATTTTAAAAAGTGAATTTTATAGATTTTTCTAGGGGGGAGACAATACATGATGTCTCCATGAGTCGGAATTGATTCAATGGCAGTGGGATTGGTTGTTTTTATATTTGTTTATACTGTGACTGTTGTTTAAAATTATCTAATTGTAAACCAAATACCTCTCAAAACAAAAATTGAATTAATGTCAGACGTATGCCCACTCAAGTAATAGGCTTAAATTGCAAACATAAAACAGCCCAAAGGAAACTTGAATGGAGTATCTGTTGTTTCAGGGGGAGGAAAGTTAATATCCTGCGGAGTTTTGGTTTTGGTTTGCTTCTTGTTTTTATTTTTTTAATAAAGAGTACTGACAAGAAAAGCCAGTTTTTTGCCTTTATTATGCAGTTGGGGCAGGTTACCCAAAGTGGCCTGGTATCAGCCTTGGCAGCTGGAGAGTAATGCTTCCTTGTGTGGGTGAGGGCTGAGTGTTGACTCCTTCCATCTGGAGACACGCCCCAGTGTGATGATGTTGATACAGCAGGGACTGGTAAGGGAGGCAGGGGTTAGTGAGGGAGATTCTTTCCCCGAACCTTTTTTTTTTTTTTTAATTGTCGTAAAATATAGATCACAAAAAATTTACCATTTTAACCTTTTTTAAGTGTACAGTTCAGTGACATTAATCACAGTCCATTTCAAAAGTTTTTCATTGCTTTACTCCTTGAAGCAATCAATCATGGGAGAATAGAAGGGCCGTGTATGCACAGGGAGACAGTTCAGGGGGCTG